GGGAATAAAATACAGTGTGAAATCATCTTATTGACAAGCCAACTATGACATACAGATATTAAATATATTATTATGGTTCTAAAGTTGCTAAGCACATCTGTGGCAGAACCACTTCTTAATCATAGAGAAGTGGAAAACTACAACCCCTGTATAGTCTTAGCTTTATTAGCATATCCTCAAAGCCTTCGCAGTGACTTGCCAGATCCTTTTAAACCTGTTTTATACCTCCTGGTCAACCAATATATCATGATACTGCCTTTGTAATCAATTTGATGACAAATTCTAGTTATTCGGTGCTATATGGCCATTTCCTAGGGAAAAACATTCTATTTATTGCATGTGGGAATTTTTAAAAGGCTGGAAAATGTTTATGTACATGAAACTATATAGTCTCCTTTTGATTAATTCTTTATATTTTGTCCAATATATTTTAACAGGCACAATAAAACGGAATTGGGAATATATATGTAACCATAATAAAGAAAAAACGAAGATCCTAGGAGACAAAAATGTTGATCCCAAATGTGAAGACAGTGAGAACAAGTTTGACTTTTCAGTGATGTCCTATAATATACTTTCACAAGATTTATTGGAAGATAACTCACATCTCTACAGACATTGCCGGCGGCCAGTATTACACTGGAGTTTTAGGTTTCCCAATATTCTGAAAGAAATTAAACACTTTGATGCAGATGTAAGTGCAACATATTATCAAAATTCTTCACACAAGAAAAAGTTGAGTTAAATGTTTCTTTTGTGCCTTTGTGAACTAAATGATTTTCTCCATTTTGTTTGTGGGGTAAGAAGGGAAGATGTTTAAGAATAATGATGAAACAGTAACAAGGTATTGTGACTTTCAGAGTGTCATTTCTTAATGATTATTGCTATAAATAATCATCTAACTTTTCAAAAAGGATCCAAAAAGTTTTAAGTATTAGTGAGTTTTGAGACAGGGATTGGCAACATATTATTCAGCAAACATTTCCTTTTATTTGAAATTTCAATAATCCATGCAAACAATTTCATCAACATGATGGCATTCAAAAAAATCAACCTCTTAAGAAAGGACCGGAAAGATTAGTACTAATGAACATGTAAATTCAGGAAAAATATCCTGACATATAAATTTACAATATTTCATTTGGGCAATAATTTTGGATGGAAAGAGAGCCCCATATGATTAAAAGCCACAGTTTTTTTATTTCAATTTTTTAGAGAGGTTAGACATTTGTCCATAAGGCCAGAGTGTTGAGATTGATCAAATTTAGAAACATTAATTTGGTAGATCTATAAATAATACAAAAGTATTGTAAATGTTTTATTTCAGCTATCATCAGGTTTGGAATTTTAGAAGCCGGTTTTTAAAGGTAAAACACCAGAACATTTATATGTGCATCTCTGTTTTAATTCAAACCATTTTTTTCTTCTAAGGTACTTTGTTTGCAAGAAGTTCAAGAAGATCATTATGGAACAGAGATCAGGCCAAGTTTGGAATCACTGGGTACAATATAACTTTTATCTTAGCCAAATTTAGTTTTGAAGATTTGTGTGTTATTAAAATATAACTTGCTAACAAAGATATATGATATATTTGGACTAAAAATCTTAATTTTGAAAACAACTTCAAAAGGTCAGGAAAAGATTGAGGTATTTCAAGTGGAAACTGTTGTGTTGATATATAACTCTAATATAAACAAAA